ACAGAAAATTTATAACTTTAACAATATTTATGGATGAATCACAATGTCTAACAAATGAACTATTTTGTTATGTACATACAACCAACTGATATGTTAATGCGCCTTATGTATTGAAAAGGATACAACAATCAGAACATGTCAAAAAAATAAAAAAATAAAATGGAGCTCACCCATTTATAAAGATTCCAGTATCCATTTTTTCTATCCGTAACAAAAAGGAGTTCCCCTGCATAAATCCAAACATAAACGTTGATACACACAACAATGTAAAACCACAGAAGTCCTGATACTTCTATATAGATGATGTAGTAATATGCCTTAACTAGATGCTCATAGCAATTGTTTACACATCCAAAACATTAACCATTAGTACCCAACAAGACCAAAACAAATCTCAGAAAAAAGAAAAGAAAAGAAAGAAACAAGAAAAGAAAAGGAAAAATTGGTGTTTGACCAAAACCCTAGTAACTAGGTCTAAGGATTTCTCTCTCTCTCTCTCTCTCTCTCTCTCTCTCTCTCACACAACACACGTGTTCAACAAGTTCAAAAGTGGAACAAGGTTACTCTTCCAGACCCTAAAACCTTTAGTCAGGGAGCTCGTGAGATATAATATCTCAAGTAGGTTGTAAAACTTGTCCCGGAACAAGGGTTTAGGGCATGCCCAACTGGATTAGAACTGGGATTAGTTGACTCGAATTAACAAAGACTTGGGCATCAATATCAAGGTCATTTATTAAAATACTATTTTTCAAAGTACATAACAATCTTGTTCACATAAGTTAATCTTCATAACACTAACAACACAATTTACTTTTTAAGTACCATACTACAACGTTGATTTAGCATCATAAATATAGCTATAGCCCAGAAAAAAAGTACCCTTAGAAGACCACTTGGGTTCAGTTGGAGACTCCACAATAGTTGGATCACAACCAGCAACACATACGCGCTTGTAGACATCTCTGCATGAAAGCATCAAAGGAATTAGTCCAATCCAATTTATCATCAATAATGAAGATAATTATGAAGCCTTAGAAAAGAATAAGTGGGAGCTTGGACAAGATCTACTAACTCAGATGTCAAAGATATCATAAAATTCTAGAGTGTCTAATGAGCATTGACACAAATAAACATATGAGATTTATGTAATACAATCTTCCATTCTAAGGGAAGGTCCATATATTCAGCAAATAATGCTCAACAGTTCCACGTTTCAGCTGAGTTCTACAAATCCCTTTTCCTATCCCAAACAATAGTATGAATATGCCAGCGGTTTTTCTCACACTCATTTATACAATAGAAAAAAAATGGCTCAGTATCTAACACAAGGTTAGTTCTTGGATAAAGTAGAGCTATGAAATCATAAAAAGAATTTAGCTTACCCTTTTTCAGAAATATAACCAACCCAGAGTTCAGCTTTATCCCATGGCATGTTAGGATGATGCCACTCGATCCATGCCATTCGTTCACCTCTTGGGTCCATACGTGGGAAGGCATAGAAGTCACTGCCACTAACTAATATTTTTGGTTCTGAATGCCACGTGATAAAAAAAAGAAAGAAGCAGGTGTGAGGGGCAGAGGCAAGAGAGAGAGAGGAAGCAAAAAACATCATTCTCCATCAAATGATAAAACACAAGAAAAATAGCATAAATACATACGAGCCTATTTAATCATAGCAAATTCCTAGAGTAACCTAATCACAATGAATTGGAAGCAACCCATTTGTTTTGACATGCCCTTTTTACTTCTCAAGCAATAGTTCCATGATCCTGCTAGCAAATTGCTGGAAGTAGAGCATACCACGGGTGCAACTTTGATGTTGCTCTTGATTCACAGTGAAAATGCAATAATTCTAAGTACATAACCCTATCTTTATACTGATGTTTAAGAATTTTCACCTTGGATATTCTGATCATTGAGGCCTATGCTTGCAATTGCTGTGGTTGGGTTCAAACCATCTTCACGATGATCTATAAAGATGGAAAATATAATTTAATGAATGGTTTTGGTATAAACCATACAAAATGTTACGTAAACTAGGTTTGGGGATGAAACAAATCTGATAGTCTACCTTCTATTATGGTAACATAACGGTTAAAGTGTGAATCAAAAACTCCATCAGCATAACGTACGAGTGGTCCACCATAGTCTGGAGTAATTGGCACAGGAGAGGAATCTGCTTGAATATGGCACATATATCAGCAAAAAGGGAAGATTTCCCAGTAACATTCCAAATTCTTATAAGCTTGTGATGCTAGGGCAGCAGTTACAACATTCCAAGTTCTGTTATATTTCCAAAGATTTCCCAGCAATCAAAAATGCAGATACAGGGAAATTAAAAAAAAAAACTAGACTGCCTATCAGTGTTTGTTCGTCCATCAATTCTATATGAAGTGCAATTACTACTTTAAACAGAAAGTAGATTAAAATTTTTGATAGTAACTCACTTTGCTTAGACAATTTTACCTTTAGAAGCTATGGACTGCTTGTACAACCTTTGATCCTTGTAATTAGAGAAAATGACAGTGTCACCAAAAATTCTGAAAGCACCACCTCCATATTCCTGAGCCGTTGTGCGCACCGCAAACTCTTTTGGAGTAATATCAATTGGTTCGCCTCCTTCTTTCTCTGGTTCCTTAACAAGAACCGCTCGCCTGAACTCATTAAAATAAACTTAAAACTAATTAACAAGAGTATTTTAAAAACAAAATAAAAAGAAAACCGAATTAATTATAGAGAGAAGGNTCCCAAACAATAGTATGAATATGCCAGCGGTTTTTCTCACACTCATTTATACAATAGAAAAAAATGGCTCAGTATCTAACACAAGGTTAGTTCTTGGATAAAGTAGAGCTCTGAAATCATAAAAATAATTTAGCTTACCCTTTTTCAGAAATATAACCAACCCAGAGTTCAGCTTTATCCCATGGCATGTTAGGATGATGCCACTCGATCCATGCCATTCGTTCACCTCTTGGGTCCATACGTGGGAAGGCATAGAAGTCACTGCCACTAACTAATATTTTTGGTTCTGAATGCCACGTGATAAAAAAAAGAAAGAAGCAGGTGTGAGGGGCAGAGGCAAGAGAGAGAGAGAGAGAGAGAGAGAGAGGAAGCAAAAAACATCATTCTCCATCAAATGATAAAACACAAGAAAAATAGCATAAATACATACGAGCCTATTTAATCATAGCAAATTCCTAGAGAAACCTAATCACAATGAATTGAAAGCAACCCATTTGTTTTGACATGCCCTTTTTACTTCTCAAGCAATAGTTCCATGATCCTGCTAGCAAATTGCTGGAAGTAGAGCATACCACGGGTGCAACTTTTATGTTGGTCTTGATTCACAGTGAAAATGCAATAATTCTAAGTACATAACCCTATCTTTATACTGATGTTTAAGAATTTTCACCTTGGATATTCTGATCATTGAGGCCTATGCTTGCAATTGCTGTGGTTGGGTTCAAACCATCTTCACGATGATCTATAAAGATGGAAAATATAATTTAATGAATGGTTTTGGTATAAACCATACAAAATGTTACTTAAACTAGGTTTGGGGATGAAACAAATCTGATAGTCTACCTTCTATTATGGTAACATAACGGTTAAAGTGTGAATCAAAAACTCCATCAGCATAACGTACGAGTGGTCCACCATAGTCTGGAGTAATTGGCACAGGAGAGGAATCTGCTTGAATATGGCACATATATCAGCAAAAAGGGAAGATTTCCCAGTAACATTCCAAATTCTTATAAGCTTGTGATGCTAGGGCAGCAGTTACAACATTCCAAGTTCTATTATATTTCCAAAGATTTCCCAGCAATCAAAAATGCAGATACAGGGAAATTAAAAAAAAACTAGACTGCCTATCAGTGTTTGTTCCTCCATCAATTCTATATGAAGTGCAATTACTACTTTAAACAGAAAGTAGATTAAATTTTTTGATAGTAACTCACTTTGCTTAGACAATTTTACCTTTAGAAGCTATGGACTGCTTGTACAACCTTTGATCCTTGTAATTAGAGAAAATGACAGTGTCACCAAAAATTCTGAAAGCACCACCTCCATATTCCTGAGCCGTTGTGCGCACCGCAAACTCTTTTGGAGTAATATCAATTGGTTCGCCTCCTTCTTTCTCTGGTTCCTTAACAAGAACCGCTCGCCTGAACTCATTAAAATAAACTTAAAACTAATTAACAAGAGTATTTTAAAAACAAAATAAAAAGAAAACCGAATTAATTATAGAGAGAAGGTAAACAATATAAAAAAAAATGAATTGATAGTAATAAAAAGGAAATTTGATACAAAGGTAATTAATGTGTTTTATGTACCCTGATTCAGTGGGACGAGATTCGAGCCAGATGAGGTGGCCGTGACCGTCAACAGCGGTTCCACCAAGTCGCTTAGAGGAGCCTGAAACGACCTCGGCGGTGATTGGTGACTTCCAAGAGCCGTATGGAGCTGTGATTTTGTCTTGCAAAGGTGATGGTACTTCTGGAACCGAAGTTGTGGAAGAAGCCATTATTTTGCAGCTTTGATGTCTCTGCGTTTTAGCCGAGATTGTATATGTGATTCTTCTGCTAAATATATACTTCAACTTAAGACTAGGAGAGTAAGATGAACAAGCAGACAAACGAGTGAGAGTAGCTATGGTTGAGAGAGCCATTTCATCATGAATTACTTTAAATTTTTTTTTTTTTTTTATCATGGATTTGACTACACTACAAGAGGGTGCACGCTAATTTGGACCTATTATTACCGTCTGATTTGAGGAAATCAAGAATCGTCAAGTTATTTACGCAACAATCCGTCATAGTGTTAGTACCATCCGATATTTTATTCGTTTTTCATTATCATCTTGCAACTGGCTCTCGTTCACTGGTCGCCGTTCAATAAATAATAAGTCGCTTCCTCCAATGGATCTTACGGGGGCTACTTTTTTATTTTTTTGTTTAATTTTTTCCGACTATCGAGTTTTAAAAACTATGTGATGTTATAACAGCAGGAGGATGACAATTATATCAATGGTTCTAATCATCTAATAATTCTCAACGCTCATTACTCTTCGTCTTTGCAACACGTCCCGAGATTTAATCATCCTGCTATTACTAATTTCAATCGACTTGTGACTTTGACAATAGTATATGTGCAAGCAGATAGCCATTCAAAGTGAACAAATGCCCAATCTAGACCACAGATTTTCTGGCCATTCAAATGGAATGAAATTTGAATAAATGCAGAAAGCCAGAGCCAGTGGCCGTCTCTTATAAACTAACCAGAAGTCTTGTCACCACCAAAGGCAGTCTCCAGATAGCCAGTTTCACTAAGATGGCTAATGTCACCCCATGTATTTATCATCCACTCCTCTTCAGCTAGGCGAAATATATTCACTGATGCATTCATTATCTTCCCTGGCAATTTTTCCGTTGGAGCAGAAAGCCTGTGAAATGCTCTTACGACTCCGCCGTGAGTGACCAACACCACTCTCTCTCCTGTAAAACAAGTTGCTAGCATACTGAAATATATGTCGGAACCATAAAGAGATAATGATGTACGATTAGCACTTTTGGTAAACCTTGTTGAAACGAACAAAATTCTTGCCTAGTATTGGTGTCAATTAAGATGGTTTTGAACAATCAAATAAATTGAATTTATGGGAGATAATAATAGAGCCTACCTCTATGCTTCTTCCCAATTTTCTGCAATGAAGATGTGCAGCGGTTATAGAGTTGATCAAAACTTTCTCCACCTCCCTACAAGCCACCATCAGATAACTGAGATCAGTAATATATACATAGAGCAAACTGTGATTAATATATAAAGTTCTAAGTTCAAACTGAAGTAGCATAAGTTTACGAAGAGGATTTTTCTGGATTGCCAATAAATTTTAATGCCCGCATATTTATTCATTAAAAAAGGTTTATCATCACAGTGCCAGCTTCAGCTAACAAACAAACTATGTGACGACATACTGGGATTTCTTGATCGGTCCTTGGTGACAAAGATGCTAAATAAGCATCTGGCTTTAACACTGCTGCTTCTTGTAATGTAAACCCTTGAAGATCTCCAAGATGTCTTTCCCTCAACTCCGGATCTGTTGTGACCTGAAACAGATTGAAACAGTTCTAAAGCAAATATAAAGCAGGAGACAATAAATGATCCACATTAGTACTCCCATGAGGAATACAAATTATCCAAGATCATCAGTCTTTCGGAAGCACGTCCAGTCAATTCGTTTTAACATTATGCACACATGTATCATAAACTTCTCTCAAAATTTCCATAAAACGCCTAGATGGCAATTCATCTTTAATCACATTCCACACCCTTTCATTCATATATCCTGTTTTGACCACCACTATTACAAAATCTTATCTTCTGTTAACAATGACCAATGTCACTGTGATTTTTGTGTGAGACTCAATGTCAGCAATATTTTTGGTTCAACTTCTTTTCTGCATTTAATAGATTGATTTGTATGCTGAATTTTCACCCATTAATTAAGACTACCAAGTTGACAAAGTACAGGAATCAGTTAAACTAATACTCTGCAGTAATAGGATTATCAAGACTGTCAAATAAAAAATTGATTCAAGTTAAGATGAAGAAGGAAAAAAAAACATTTTCCAATTCAACCACAAAACAAACTCGAAAGCCATAAACATGATCCAAAGATTTGATGGAATTGATTGTTCTTTTTCAAAAAAGGATATTGTTGATAAACAAGCCACCACATAATGTTGTTAGTAAACAAACAAGTACTATTTTCATATAAGTCATTCAGCTTACTTACTTCCAGCAATGTAACTGATATCAGCATCCAGTACACTAGGTTAGCACATCACTCATCCATTCCATAACCATAAACTGGTAACAAACAAAAGCTATGAAAACTGTAATAGAAGTTCTTTGAAAAATTAACCTCGGGGATACCACATGTGCTTGCAATAATATGAGCAGTCTCCATAGCTCGTTTCAGATCGGAAGAGTATACAGCTGAGATTTTCATCTCCTTTGAGATTCGATTAGCAACCTTAAAATAAAAAAATAAAATACAAGCAAGCACTTTAGCAAGCATAGCGCAAAAAACCAAATAGAAGCAAATTTAACTTACAGCAGCTGCTTGCTGTCTCCCAACATGATTCAGTTCCACATCCAGATGTCCCTGTAAAATAATTATAATTGAAAACATGAAATGAATAGATGCTAGAAAACGAACCTAACATACAGCATAATCTATTCAAGGTATCTTGAAGTGATCAAACAAGCTAAAGCATCTCCTGGCAATTGAAATAAAAGCAGTGATTATGAGTTACTAATTGAACTAAAGTGACAATCGACCGAAACCCTAAAGAAGCCCATTTGGTACCTAAAAAGATTTCTATAATTCAGTAATTATTAATAAAGCTTAAAAATACATAAAAATTCACATGTTTCTCATATATACGAAACAAGTTTGCTCTTTTCCTTGATTTCTTGGATTTTTAACTATCATCGAGTTACGAAGTGATGATAAAGTAACATACCTGAATTCTCCCATCAGCATTCCACGCTGTTTCTCCATGACGCACCACTATAATCTCCGCATAATCAACAATTGCACCGGCACTTTCGCAATCACATTCAAAACAAACCACATTAATGATCAAATCATATTAACACCCAAAATCAAAGTGAAAGGAAGAGGGAAAAACAAACCTTGAATCAGGGTTGACAGGAGTTGATTCGGTCATGGAGATACAGACTCTAGAGATCTTGATTCTTGATGCCGTTATGGAAGTTAACAAAGAGGCGGGAACAATTTATGTTGAGTGTGACACGTGCAGGTTCAGCATTATAGCCAAGATTTGTGCTGCGGGCTCTTTACGCAACTTTATTTGGGCTGAAAATGGGCCGAATATCTGGGCCTGGTTAGCAATTGTGACTGTAACTTCCCACCAATATGACAATAACTTCACTATGATTGCTGGTCTCTCAATATCTTCTAATAAACAAAATAGTACCTTTTTTTTTTTTTTTTTTTTTTAAGGTATCGGAGTTATCCATGCCTACATTTGAAGTTTGTCTAATCTTTAAGACCATAGGACACCCTTCAAGCCCAATAAACTAAGGTCCAAAGTAGTTTTTAAAAATATTGAATTTTTGTTATTATCAAATATAATATCTTAGAGAAGAAGTTAGAAAATAGAAAATAGGTTTGAAATATAGTGATGAACAGCTAATTAAGTTGCAAGATTTTTCATGTACTTGAGCAAGCAAGAGCATCTTAGTATTACTTTTCAAATATATTTATTGTTCAGTACCCAAATTAAACAAAGGCTTCCTTAATGAGATACATATGGGACGCCATGGGTTGCTTTGTGAGAAGCTCAATTTTATTCAGTACTCAAATAAAAACATCCATATGGGATTGTCTGCCTGAAGGGTCCCGTCCCTGTTAGCTCACAGTTTTTTTAGGGTAAACAAACCTCTTTTAAGTGTATATTAATTTATTAATGGAAACAGTTATCCACCTACCAGTGGCCAAATTATGAAGATGGATAAGGCTCACTGATAAAGTATTATACTCGAGGTTCAAACATTTCAATATATTTCTTCCAAATACAAAAAATATCACCCTTTCCCACTACTTCTTTCACAGATATCTGCTTAAAATATCTTTGGAAAGGTACCAAATTCAGGTCGAATAATACTTTGGGTACTAATGGATGAGTACTAATATGTGTACTAACTAAAGTATAGTACCCGTACTATGCGCATAGTACGGGTACTATACTTTAGTTAGTACACATATTAGTACTCATCCATTAGTACCCATAGCATCACTCATTCAGGTCATCTGGTTCCGAAACAGTAGGTTAGCCAGAAGCAGAAGCATAACCACATTTCATATCTACAAAATAAGCATATTCAAAAGCAGCAACCATTACTGAAAGCACTGCCCTTTGGGTATATAGACTATGTCAAATAAATGTGCGGCTGCCCATCTGTCTGTCCATTGTATTCTAATCATAGAAGTTTAGGAACGCGGTTGCACATGTATATGTATAAAAATAAATGCTCTTAGTTTGTTGTTTCTTGATGGATGCTCGGAAGGTAATTTGTAATCGGGCCTTCTCCTAAGTTATATAATATTAATGTAAGATGTTAACATTATTAAGATTTTTCTAATAATAAATATAAACCATAATCGCAGAACCAATTCTGGTTAAGTGTCAAATAGAACTGCAAAACAAAGTGATGCAGAATGAGGCAATCCCATCACCGCCACAATAATTGGAGGCAACGACAAAGCAGCTTAGATTGTAGAATCATTTTAGATCACTTTTGTATAATGTCAAAAACAAAAAGACTTTAAAAACCAGGTAAAAAATAAATGATAACTAGTAAAGTTAAATCATATGATCAAACGAGTTCCCAAGCCAAAAATGTCAAATCTATCCTTTCAATCAACTTTATAACAAATCAATTATGGGTAAAGTGTCCATTATTCGTCGGCCTTATCACTTTTTTTTTCAGTCTATCAGTTCATTTAGCTTTATGTTGCATCAGATTCAGATCAAATTCAACTCTTCTTGGTAAGAATAGCTAACACGCCACCAACTAATGCGCTTAAATGAACATAACTTTAGTCTAATCAATGCACGTTCTTGATGATTCGGCATGTCCAGCTTGGAGGGCCTCACATGCTTCAAAGTAGAAATGGTTAGGACGATTCAAACCACGACCAGTCACTCAAATTTTTCTGCTCATTTGCTTTTGTTATTGTCAACCATTTATTGTTGTTGTGTTGCTTTACAAACTACAGTTATTATTGAAATGGTCCATGTTTTGCCCCATGGAACACTCTCGTAGGATTAGAATTGAAACTGTGCGTCTGAGTTTGCAGAAAAAGCAAACGTTGGTGATTGAGTTTCATCAGTATCAAACATACCACGTTATTAACAAGACGGTTCTTGGTAAAATGGGATCACTTTGTCAAGCCTAGTGATTAAATCATGACTTTGTATATGTAGATGTATATCATCAAGATGCCTTACGCGGCAAATTCGATTTAGCATGTTTTCGCCGACATTGGTGGCCTTCTTTCTAATTAGTCATGTCGAAGGACCCCATCTACGACACTGACCTGTTTTGGACATTCTGCTTAATTGCTTCATATTGCTTTAAGCAACAAATAATTAGTTAAATTGTGTTTATCTATGTAACGTTAATTGAAATCAAACAAGAAGAACATTACAAAAGAACTGTGAAGTGTGGATATTATAACAAGTAACCCTTTGTCATTTGTGTAGCCTGAATTGCTTTTAGAGTGACGAATAAGAGTATGAAGGTCTGACAAGGATAAAGTGAAGGCAGAAAAAAAAGTCTGAATGACAAGCAATAAAGGCAAATTTCCATGGATAAACAGGAGAAATGTTAGAGGAAAGATGAGCTGCACCTCAATAATTAGGGAGAGTTTGGAAAAAAAGTATAAAGCAAGTGACGTTGATGCCTTATGTAATGATCAGAGAGGCACATGCTAAACAAACATTACCAGAGTCCTTTTTTCATCATTTAGAGTTTTTTCTTTTCTTCCCTTCCCATTCCCTACAACTGGTGGTCCGACCCTCTTATCTTATCGCATTCAACCCCTTCTCTTTTTCATCACTAAACTTGGTCACATCAACCTTTGGTCCCATTCTCATTTTCCTTTTCTCTCTAAAATTAAACCCAACTTGTATATTAATTTTCTCTTTCCTCTTCCCCCCTTAAAAAAAAAAAAGATTCCAAGGACACTCTAACCGAGTGACCAACCACCTTCTTCCTAACTCACTCCCTACTTCATTTCCTTTTCCTTCTATATGTATCTTGTACCACTCAACTAAACCTTATTCTTCTACCTCTCTAGTTTCTTGATTTTTCTTTTAGTAAGTTTTATCTAAGATGCCTCCAGTGCATTCTAGTCCATACTATCAAATGGACAATCCAGCAATCCTATCTTTGCTCCGCCATACTACTACAGTTCATCATCATGAGAAGCGTTCCAAGTCCACCGGAGGAGGTCTCTTAAAAATGTTCAAGCTCTTTCCTATGCTAACCTCAGGCTGCAAGATGGTTGCACTATTGGGTCGACCACGCAAACCTTTACTCAAGGACAATGCTACAACCGGTACTATTTTTGGTTTTCGTAAAGGCAGAGTTAGTTTAGCCATACAAGAGGATCCTCATTGCTTGCCAATGTTTGTGATAGAGCTTCCTATGCTTACAAGCGCACTTCAAAAAGAAATGGCTTCTGATATTGTCAGAATCGCGCTGGAGAGTGAAACCAAGACTCATAAGAAGAAACTATTGGAAGAGTACGTTTGGGCTGTGTATTGTAATGGAAGAAAAGTTGGATACTCTATTAGGAGGAAGACGATGTCCGACGACGAGCTTCATGTGATGCAACTTCTTCGAGGTGTATCAATGGGTGCCGGTGTTCTTCCAAGCCCAAACGAGAAGGAAACAGCAGATGGAGAATTGACGTACATGAGAGGAAGATTTGAGAGGGTGGTTGGATCCAAGGATTCCGAAGCTTTGTATATGATAAATCCAGATGGTGCACCAGGGCCAGAATTGAGTATTTTCTTTGTAAGAACTCATTAGACTTCATGTGTACCATCCTAGGTTATATTGTGAATTAAAATTAATTTGTCAAGAGTGGCATTGAAAAAAAACAAAAACAAAAAAAAAAAAAAAATTGCTCCAGCTTTTGAGTCCCATTTTCTTTTTCATAGCTAATGGATTGGATATATAATTTTATATATTTCCTTAATAAACATGTGAAAAGCAAATATCTCATGATCCCTTTGTCTAATCTTAAAATACTTAGACGATTGTTCATTGAAAATTAAGCTTCATAAATGTTGATTCAGTTGAGATTTGTGCATACAAAGTCTTGTGCGGTCAATCCGGAGAGAAGATATTTAGATTTGCTCAATTGGAAGGAAGATATTCAGATTGACTTAGATTCTAACTAAGGTAGCCGAAGATCATGCAACTTCCTAATCCTACGTATTTGAATCTTATCTCAACTCTATCATACAAATGGGTGCTATATAAACCCATCATAACTTATTTTCAAGGGGGTTGAGCAATTGTTCTAAGCAAATTTTCCTAGGAATTATACTATTCTTTGTAAGCTCTCAAAAACAATAAGATAATAGTGGACGTAGGCTGAAGTTCTAACTTGCCAAACCACTTTAAAAATCTCTCTATCATTTACTTTATTGCATTTATTATTCATCCACTGCTGGTTATCCATAATTACGCGCACATCGATTTCAATTCCAGCAGGGTCGATCGGATCTCGATGGTTGATGCAAAATTCTGTACCAACATTTTGACACTAAAAGGAGGGTCTGATTCACAGCAGCTCTCCATGTTTTTCCCTCAATCTCAACTTCTTCAACAAATCCCAGCTTCTTAATCTCGAATCATGTCATCAAATGTAAAAATCTAAGCAGGATAAAGTTTGAATCTGGCTAAGTGTAAACATAAGAATTGTAGCCCTTTAAGTTCGCTTTCCGATGGTTCAAGAATCATCCAAATATGAGGTCTACAGCTCAAGTTATCGTCAAAATACTGAAGCTTGTTCCAAATCAGAGTTCTCAGATCGCGTGGCCAGATCACTCAAATCGCATGCTCAAATCTCTCATATTAGAAAGAGCTCGCTAGCTCTCTAGCTCTTAAGCTCCCAAGCTCTCCAAGCTTTCTGATCAAGCAATGCTCTCAAATCAAGCTTTCCATGCTT